ACCAGGCTCCCTCCTCACTGCCCCTTTACCTGCACCGCTCTCCGTAGCTGCAGAACCCGCTCTGGAAGTACCTGCAGATCTGGGCTGACTTTCTCTCGTGCGAGAAGCGGCAGTTCCGGCCCCAGTGACAGAATCAACGGGCAAAATTCCTGCCAGCCGGAGAAGCGGCACAGCCAGCTGAGACCCCGCTTCGAGGCCCCCAAATCCCCCCAGGCACCCGCTTTTCCTGGGTGGGACCATGTTTTCAGAGCCCCCAGGCTCGTGTCTGGGCTCAGGAGCCCTCCCCAAGGACAGATCCCAGCAGGAGCCAGACCTCTCCCTACCTCATCCAGCCTTGCCTCCTCCTGGCTAAACAAAGCCCAGGGCTGGGCTGTCCGGGGGGCCTGGAGCATGAGGCTAGGGGTTTCCTTGGGGCTGGGGGAGCAGGGAGACCCACTGGGGTATGAAAGGCATGGAATGGGGCAGGAATCCTCAGCCTGGGGCTGACAGGGAGGGGGGGGGCCCACTGGGGTGCTGCCAGGGACCCCACGCTCCAGAGTGGGGACAGCTGGATGGGACAGCCTCCATCTCCTCACCCTCTGGAGGATACAGGAAAGGGGGGTTCAGGGGCATCACAAACCATTCTCTGTCCCCACAGCAAGGGGCTCATAGCCACATCTCCAGCCTTTCTTCCCCAAAAGTTGATCCCAGCCTCCCCTTACCCCCCAAAGTCCTACCTGCACGGGGGTCTCAGGCAGCGCCCCCGAGCCACCAGCGCTCCCGGCTCCATCTCCTCCTGGCAGCACGAAGGGCTGGGCGACCTCCTGGGACTACTTATGGCCTTGGACTGTGTCTTAGTTTTCCTCCCAGTAGCTGGTGCAGCGTGTTTTGGATTTGGGGCGAGAATAATGTTGATAACACACGGATGTTGTAGTTGTAGCTGAGCTGTGTTTACACTCAATCAAGGACTTCTCGGCTACTCAGACTGCTCCAGCAGCAAGGATGGGGGGGCACAAGAAGCAGGGAGGGGACACAATGGGGACAGCAACAACCAATTCCCAAAGGGATATTCCAAGACTGAACGATGTCATGCTCAGGACATAAACTGGGGGGAAAGCTGGGTGAGGGCTGCTGCTCAGGGATGGGTATCAGTCAATGAGCAATTGCATTGCACATCGCTTGTTTTGCATAATTATATTACTAAATTAAATCATATTTTATGCATTTTATACAAGAGAAGGCTCTGGGGAGACCTTAGAGCAGCTCCCAGTGCCTAAAGGGACTGCAAGAGACCTGGAGAAGTACTTTGGACAAAGGCCTGTAGGGACAGGACAAGGGGAATGGCTTTAACCTGCCAGAGGGGAGATTGAGATGAGCTTTGAGGCAGAAGCTCTTCCCTGTGAGGGTGCTGAGGCGCTGGCACAGGGTGCCCAGAGAAGCTGTGGCTGCCCCATCCCTGGCAGTGTTCAAGGCCAGGTTGGACACAGGGGCTTGGAGCAACCTGCTCTAGTGGAAGATGTCCCTGCCCGTGGCAGGGGGTTGGAACTGGAGGAGCTTTATGGTCCCTTCCAACCCAAACCAGTCTGAAATTCTGTGATTCTATATTCAAACTATTGCTCTATTGTTATTCTAAAGGAAGGGCTGGGGCTGTGATTTCCCCCAGGGCCATTCGAGGGGGGGGTCAGAGAGAAGCTGGGGGGTGGCAGCTGCTCCCCACAAACTCTTGGCTGTTGAGACCTGACAAATCCTTGAAATCATGGCAAATCCATGGAAATCACACCAAGTCCCATGGGAGCTGCTGCAAACCCTCCCAAAGGGCAGGTCCCCAAGGGGCTGAGCGAAACCCCACACCGAAAGGCCGGATGCTAAAAAGGTTCTTAAATATTTAGTTCAGATTTATTTAAAGTCAAGTCAGTTTGTGGACACTATTTATATTATTAAAAACACTTGGAGGTTTGTACTTCTAGCAAAAATATACATTTCAGTTTGAGGGTTGTTACGCTGGCGAGGAGGGAAGAGCAAAAGGTTCCCCAGGTGATGAGCATGTGAGCCGAGGACAAATCCCCTGGGATCCATCCAGTGCCTTCCCCCAGAGGGCTTCAAAGTGCTTTAGAAACGGTCATTCATAACCCCCCTGCGAGGTAGGGAGGGGAAGGGAAAACTGAGGCACGGCAGGAGCTGGGGGGCAGCAGCAGGGGCAGGTTTGGGGCCAGCCAGCCCTGGGATACAGGAGGGGAAACCCAGAGCTCTTCCCTTGGGGTTTTAAAGGAATTATTGCACCAGGGAAATCTGCTACCCTGAAGAGGAGGAAAATAAAGTAAAACTGTCTGATTTGCTCCCACAACCCCTCCTTGGGAATATCATAATAAGGCTGCTCAGGACATATGTGAGCACAAGCTGCAGATGGGCAAGTGCCACTTCGTAGGTCAGACACCATCACCCCGATGATGGGTCCATCACCCCAAGAGGGGACTGAGCCCTTCCTGGGGCTCTGTGTCTCCCAGAGCCTGGGTAGCTCCTGTTCATCGTGGGCATCCCACCCTTGCGCTCCCCTTTTATAAATCCTTGGCATTTCTACTGGTTTAGAGCGCCAAAGCACGAGGATTAACACACCACTTAATCCTCGTGTTCCCCCTCCAAGCAGAGAGCAGAGACAATCCAGATCCCTTTCACAGAGGGGAAACTGAGGCAGGGCAGTTAACAGGTCAATGCCCTTTCAGCATCATGAGCACCGTGGGCTGGCTGTGGCTCTCCCCTTTGTGGTGTTGCTGAAGGCTTTGCTTGCTCAGGTACTGACAGAGAGCTCTGCTGCACAACCCCCAGAGCTCCCCCAGCTTGAGGAAGGGGCTGCAGGACAAGCCAGAAGTCCTGCACGTCACCCTGACCAGCCCCAGGAGTTGCACAGACCTTTCTGGTAACTCACATTCCTGCAGGACAGCCTGGGGAGCACAAAGATTCCATCCTCTGCTCTGAAGGTGGATTTTGATGAGCCAAACCCACCTCCTCATCTGTCTGTCTCTCACATTGAGGAGCTGAGGAGCAGGATCCCTTTGAAACAGCGGTACCAGGAGCAAGGGAAGGCAGAGATCACACAACCCCTCTGGGAGACAGGAACACGCCACACACCGAGGGAGGAGGGCAGCAGCTGAGGGTCTCAGCTAGGACCACACCACCCATCTTCAAACACTCTGGCTTTTCTTTGGGATAGGGAGAAACATCCTTTCATTACACTGTCCCTCACGGCTCAGGACCACATCTTCGGAGTGCAATACAAAAATCAAGACATATCGTAAGTGCTGTTGCTGGCCCCAGCAGATACCTGCACCACGGTCGGGTCTCCTAATGACCACAACATCTCCCACCATCCCTGGGCTGCTGCAGGAACCCCACCATGTAAACTGGGTGGTTGCTCCAAGTTGCAGCTGAAGAGCTGGGCTGTAGTAACGGAAACTGTAGCTTATGATTTGCCTTTGTACTTTTGTTAGTGTGTGTTAACAGAAGCCCTTGGCCTAGCAGGAGGTGGCTGATGGCATCTCACCCTATGTACCGTATGTCAGGGTCACGTAGAAAAGAGTTTCCAGTAGAAGAAATGGAAGACGTGGGGGAAAAGGTTTTCCTTGTTTCTGTACAAAGAGTCTTGATGGGAATCATGGCTTCATTCGCATAAATAACAGGTCCTTAGTACATGTCCTTGTAGATCTCCTGCAGAAGAGGGTGCAGAGATGTCTCAGTCTCTGTCTTCTTGATTTTCTGCACGAGCTGGGCATGCTCTGTCACCAGCTGCCGCAGGTCTGCCATCTTCTGCAGCAGCTTGGGGAAGAGGTACTGGGCATCCGGGTGGTTGGACTGCAGGTGGAACTCCAGTGCCCGCAGGATGTTATCTTGGATCTCCTCCACTTGCTTCACGTTCATCAGGCCAGGGCGGTCTGTGGAGAGGAAGCTGCAGTGTTACGGTGTAGCCCTCCAAAGCATATGCTCCTCCTGGGGAAAGGGAGATGGGGACTGTAACCCACCCGCTGTGACTCCAACCTCATCAGCTAGACAAGGGGAAGTGTGCCCTCAGACAACACATCCCACAGCAGCATACAAGAAGGAGGTGCCACTTCTCAGTGCTGGTCAACATGACCAGCAGGTCAAACAAGGTTATCCTGCCCCTCTACTCTGCTCTCATAAGATCCCACTTGCAGCACTGGGTGCAGTTCTGGTGTCCCCAGCATAAGGACGAAGCAAGTCCAGCGTAGGCCACGGGGATGATCAGGGGCTGGAGCAGCTCCTGTATGGAGACAGGCTGAGAACATTGGGGCTGTTGAGCCTGGAGAAGAGAAGCTGCGTGGAGACCTCAGAGCAGCTTCCACTGTCTGAAGGGGGCTGCAAGGATGCTGGAGAGAGACTCTACATCAGGGACTGTAGTGATAGGACACAGGGAAATTGGTTTAAACTGAAACAGGGGAAGTGGAAGTTAGATCTAAGGCAGAAGCTCTTTCCTGGGAGGGTGCTGAGGCGCTGGCACAGGGGCTGTGGCTGCCCCATCCCTGGCAGTGTTCAAGGACAGGGATTCTGTGATTCTACACACCTTGTTCTTGGTCCAGGCTTGCTAGGCATCACTGCCATGGAGAAGCGTTGGTTTTGGAACTGTTTTGTTCTTCTTCCAACCCCCTAAGACACCCCTGGCTGATCTCTGGCACCCCTCAGCGGCAGCTCAGGTCCTGCAGCACACCCCAAACCACCCCTAAGTACAGGAGGACTCTTCTTGACACTTTCATGACCAAAAGCCCCCACTCACCTCCACATAGGATGATGGCAGCCACAAACAGAGACAGGTCACTGTCATCCAGCTCCAGCGCGTTGAACTTCACTGCAAACTCAAACTTGGGCTCCATGATCTCGTTGAAGGGCTTGCGCAGGCTACGCAGGAACTCACGAGTCACAAAACCATTCCCATTGGCCACCAAGAGCCCATCCTTGTTCATGATAGAGGCCAGCATGGCAAAGATGGCCTCGTGCACCCCATACTTCAGCAGAGTCACTTGGTCATTCAAGTAGAGGCCTATGAAGCTGGGGATGCTCTTGGCAAACTCGGTGAGCTCCCGCACAGTCTCCACCGTCGTGCACTGGCAGCGGTAGAAGACGTGAACCCCGATCTCCTTGTAGGGGGGGATGCCATTCACTAGCTGCTTCCACACCAGTCCCTTTTCTGCCTGCCACAAGGTGTCCATGTCATGGATCACAAAAGGCTGCTTGAAAAAGAAGCAAGCAGTTACGAACACATTTATGTCCCTGCTCACTGCAGGGAGGTGGGACTAGATGGCCTCTGAAGGTCCCTTCCAACCCAAACTATTCTAATGACTCTATGAACATGTTGCAGGGACTCAAGATAGCAGCTCTGCCAAGGACACTTGCATTTGTCTGCCTGTCCCTTTGCTGTTCTCTTCCCACTGGGGCAATCTGCACCCCCCAGAACTGCACAAGTCTGCAGAGAAACAGCAATTTGCCCAGTTAGGGGCAGGATGTGTAGAGCCCATCCTGCTGCAGCTGGGAGCTCCTACATGGGGAACAGCTACAGGATCCCCCAGAGAACAGCCCCCTGTGGTGGTCATGGCTAACCCTGTCTGCCCTGGGGAGGAAACTTACTGGGGTGCTGCTGGCCTTCCCGGTCAAGATACCTCTCGCCTTCTTTTTGGTCATGTTGAAGTTCTTCAGGTAGGCGTTGTAGATGTGCTTGGAGAATGCTTTCAGGTCGGCCACCTGCGGGTTCTGGCAGCTGATCTCACTCGCTGTCAGCCCCGCCACCAGCTTCCTCTTCTCTGCCTCGGGCATGCGGCCAAAGCGGATTGCTGGGGGCAAACCAGTCGGTCAGGACACTGGGGATGATCCCAGGGGATGCACCCAGGGAAGCAGCACCTGCTCTGTCACCACAGAGGTCCGCTGGTGAACACCAGCATAATGCTTCTCTGGGGATGCAGCTCCTCTAGCATTGACGCCTTCATGAACCAGCTGTTACTGCTGCTGGTTACTCTTGCCAACACAGCCTCACACCAGCAACCATCCTCACTCCTCTGGGCTCTCACACAAACCCCTCTTCCCACATGAACACCTTTACTTGCCCAGGAACAAGATGGTTGCACCTGAAGCTTAATCCCAGCACAGAAGAGCAATCTGCGTGTCCGGTTCCCTCTGGGCCAGTCCATAATGGAAAGCCATGTGCCACCAGCCAGCCTGCATGGTGGGGACAAACCACCCCTTCTTGTGTAGAAGAAGGGGATGAAGAGCCAAAGGCTCAAAGCACTGGGTGTGAAAGATGATTCCCTTAGCAGGACGACAGCGACGGGATAAAGCAAAGCTACCTACAAACCCCACACAGAAGGGCAGGTGGCCCCATGGCACCAGCAGTGACACTCACTCACCGTTATGCGACATTCCCAACGAGAGGCATTTCTGGAAGCGGCAGTACTGGCACTTGTTCCTGTTCTTCTTCTGAATCTTGCAGCTCCTCTTGCACTTCTCATACTCCAGTTTCATGCGGATCGTCCGGCGGAAGAAACCCTGTGGGTGGGTGGCACAGAGGGGGACACGGAGCAGGGGACAAGGGAAGAGCAGTGTTAGCACCTCTGGCTTGGGACAAAGGGGGCTTCTTATCCTCAGTAACTTCATGGGGGTTCAGCCAGGGGGGTGAATGGTGGGAGAAGGGGGTGCAGAGGAGGGACCCCGGGCTGATACTGGGAGCTGTGGGTGCAATTCTACAGGCAGAGAGGGATGCAGGAACAAGTGAGCCCCAGCCTCCAGGAATGTCTGGCAGGGCCTGGGCCCAACGCAGCCCTGCTGGCATCTGCTGCGGGGGAAAGAATTTCAGAGGCACATCCAAGCTGCAGCCAATGATCCCAGGGGGATAAACACACAGCTCTCTGCTGATGTGCAGCACAGAAAGCATCTTCAACAGCAAAGCCAGGGTCCCCGTGGGGACAAGCAGATTTGCCTTACAAAGTAAATCATGACGGGGCAAGATTTAGGTCATACACGTCAGCTGCCTCCCCCAGGCTAGTATCTGTCTGCCTATACTCCCCACACTGGTTGCAAATGATGTTCGGCCTGGAGAAGAGAGGCTGCTGGAGACCTCAGAGCAGCTTCGTGTCTGAAGGGGGCTACAATGATGCTGGAGAGGGACCTTCATCAGGGACTATAGCGATAGGACAAGGGGTGATGGGTTCAATCTGAAACAGGGGAAGTTTGGGTTGGAGATAAGGAAAACTTTCTTTACTGTGAGGGTGCTGAGGCGCTGGCACAGGGTGCCCAGAGAAGCTGTGGCTGCCCCATCCCTGGCAGTGTTCAAGGCCAGGTTGGACACAGGGGCTTGGAGCAACCTGCTCTAGTGGAAGGTGTCCCTGCCCGTGGCAGGGGGTTGGAACTGGATGAGCTTAAGATTCTTTCCAACCCAAACCATTACATGGTTCTATGCTTTTACAAGCACTTAATCCTGCATCCCTGTTTTGCTGCAAATCTGCTGTCTGAAGAGAAGTCATGGTCCCAGGGGTCTAGTCTCTGCCTGGCCCAGCCCTCACGCACCCTGCAGCCCCTCACGCACCCTGCAGCCCCCCACGCACCCTG